TCACATTGCTGTGTAACCATCACCATCATCCATCTCCAGAACTTTTTCATTCTTCCCAAACTGAAACTCCATACCCGTTAGACAAAAACTCCTTGTTCTCCTCCTCTTTCCCACAACTAATACGGGTCAACACAAGGTTGACATAAGGGAAGCAATATTGTAGAAAAGAAACCATATTGTAACTTTGAATGACTTCTGATTAACTAACCCGGACATGCTCTATAGAGTTTACGGACCTGCCCAGCAGCTATAAATTGATAACTTTGTTCTTCCGAGTTCGTTAGGAATGTGTGACCCCCCAGGCAGAGTCTGCGCTGATAGCCATCATCATTGGCAACTAAGATCTAGGTACAGGCTGTTGCTCCGGTCTCTGATGCACACCCAGTAAAACAGAAGACTGTCAGGAACTGACACCAGTTGTCTGCCCTCACCTGGGGATCAGGTGGAGGCCTCACTGGGATTAGGGCTCTTTTTCAAGGACTGTTAAAATTTGGGTTGTCTATGCTTCTCATCCTTCTGGTCTGACATTTGATTATAAAATGTGCTTTTTAGATGTTTTAGATGTTGAGCAAGATACAAAATTCTAATAATACCAAAATGTCAACATGAAGCCGGGAACAAGAGAATATTTCCATGTGAGTGCTAAACAGTTTCATTCCTCTAACCCGGATCTACATCCCAGTTCAGCAGGAAGCAGCTAGATTGGTTGTCGCCCCAAATCCCTCAAGAATGAAGAATACCAAAGAATAGGAGAGATTGAAACTGGCAAAGAGTTAGCCATTGATGATTAAGTAGCTAGGAACAAAAGATTTTTTCCCTTTTTGCGATTACTGACTATAGCTTTTAACTGTTTAACTCACCCATTGTTAACTGTGCTGTTTAGGCAATATGCTACCTGACTCCCACTAGGTTCCTATAGATAACATCTCCCTGGAGCCTGGGTCACCATGGTAATGGGTGTGTGAGCTGTTCTTCAGGAATTAGAACCCCTTTGTCCACTCCAGGCTGGTTGAGACCACTAACTCATCAACTGGGCTGGTGCAGATGTCCAATAGGCGACCTTTTGATGTCAAGAGGCTAAAAACTCCACCCTCATATCATGCTAATGCTGCCATCTTGTGAGCATGCATCCTACGAAGAGGGATGGAGTCTGACTACGCTTGCACAGATAATCAGTTACCTCACCTCTCCTCACCTCCAATCACTTATCTCTACATTTCAGACTGCCTTGCCCCCATCCCATAAATATCCCTGAGTCCCTATTTTCGGGGAAGCAAATTTGACACTCATGCTCTCGCTTCCTTGCATGGCTGCCTTGTGATTAAACCCTCTCTCTGCTGCGATCTTGTCATCTTGGTGTTTGGTTTTCTGGGTGGCGGGGAAAAATGAACCTGGCTTGGTAACACAATCACCATTCTACTTTCTGTCTCTATCATTTTGACTACTCTAGGTACCTCATATAAGTGGAATCATACTGTTACCACACAAAATTGGGGTTCTCTTGCCTGATGCCCATAAAAAGCCAATTATTATGGCATCAGCTTTTGCCAAAGAAATCAGCTTTATTTTGCGAGATCAATTTGCAAGGAGACAGGAGCATACGCTCTCAGATCTGTCTCCCTGATCCAGGGTTTGGGGCACATTTTATGGGATGATGGGTAGGGCAGTTTGAAGTGTGGAGATATGATTGTGTTACCAGATACAAACGGGTTCATTCAGCCATCGCACAGGAGGGCCGATAAAGAGAAAAAAACCTAAAACACAGGTTTGTGGCAAGGAAACAGGTTTACTATTGAAACACAGCCAGGTGAGGAGATGGGAGTTAGAACTCCACCTCCTCGAAGGGAAAAAGGTAGGGGTTTTTGTCTGGGGTTTTAGGAAGGGGAGGGAGAGCATGTGCTGGGGTTTTAGGTGGGTGAGGGGGAGCATGTGGCCTTGCTAGTGGGTGCCTTTCCACCAGCCTGCTTTTGGCTTTGTGAGGCTGAATCTTGACGTTTGGACCTTGGCTTCCTGGGAAAGACAGCTCACTCGTATACTAATGAGGGACAGAAAGACCTGGTTAGTTTTGAACAACAGTTGATTTTGTTGAATATGCCCAGCTGCAGTTAGCAAAGCTTATCTTAAAGTTTTTGTTCTGGGGAAGACTTTTTAACTCCTTAGTTCTTGGTTTCAATTGGAGGTAAGGAGAAGTCAGGTAACTGGTGATCTGCACAAGCATAATCAGGCCTCATGCCTCTTCACAGGACACGTGTTCACAAAATGGCAGCTATACCATGATCTGAGGGTGGAGCTTTCAGCTTCTTGATGTCAAAGAGGTTACTTGTCAAGCATTTGCACAGGTCCAGTTGATGTGTTGGTGGTCTCAACCAGCCTGAACTGGACAAGAGGTCTCATTTCTCGAAAAATCACTCTTAATTACTCTGTTGATAAGATGGGGTCAGTTGAATTGGTCCTGCAAAGCCTGTGGTTACAATACTACATTTGTCCTTTTATGGTTGGCTTATTTCACTCAGCATGTCTTCAAGGTTCATCCACATTGTAGCATGTGTCAGAATTTCCTTCCTTTTTAAGGCTGAATAATATTCCATCGTATGTATATTTGTAACCACAGGAACAGGAACAGAATTTGCCACCCGAAAATATGCCTCTTTGACATAAGGATTATTTTGAGCTGGTAATTACCATTACCATGAAACAGTAGACATCGGAAAAGCTGTGAAAAACTAGTAGACGTTACCATTTGTAAAAGACATTTACATTTGTTAGGGAAATCTCCGTTTGTAAGGTTGTCTCCTCCTCTGTGCCAGGAAGAGAAGGATGACTCTAAATCACAAGAAACTCTTATCAATGGAGAAAGCAATGAATTAAATCTGCATAACAACTTTACCCTTGTTGTTATGCAGATTTTCCTGGTAACCTGCTTTTCCTGGTAACCTCCCCTAACTGACCCCATATTAACAGAATGTTAAAGCTGTATTTCAGGGGCAGTAAGCCAAAATCTGAGCATGTGCAGAAGAGAGAATTTTGACCTGCCAATCAAAACTCATCTTACCAGTGCTTCTGTGTACTAGCTGGCCCTCCCTAATCCCTTAAAGTTGACCCCAAACCCTAGACCGGGGAGACAGATTTGACAGCCTTGCCTCCTGTCTCCTTGCCAGTTGACCTCGCAAGAAAGACTCTTCTGTTCTTGAAAATGAGTGCCAGAATTTTGGCTTTTTATGTACATTGGGCAGCAGGCCTTCTTGCAGTAACATATATGATATTTTGTTTATCCATTCGTCCATCGATGGACATTTGGGTTGTTTCTACCTTTCAGCTGTTGTGAACAATGCTGCTAGGAACATGGGTGTACAAATATCTGTTTGAGTTCCTGCTCTCAATTGGGGTATATACCCAGAAGCTCAGCCCTACTTTTAAAGCTCCTTTCTGTCCCTGGAGGCTAGGCTGCCTACGGGTACTTGCATCATCCTTTTGTGGCAGTGGCTGCTCACAGCACTCCACAGGGCCACTGCTGGGCAGTTGTTGCAGCTCTTCTCTTCTGGGTCAATGTTCTTGATACTGGCTCAACACAAGGTTGACATAAGGGAAGCCATATTTTACAAAAGAAACCATATTGAAAGTTTGAATGACCACTGATTAACAAACCCAGCTGGGTATGCACCCTCCAGGAGGTATACATGCTCTGTAGATTTTCTGGCCCCTCTCAGCTGCGGTGAGTTGATAACTTTGTTCTTTTGAACTCCTTAGGAATGTGGTGACCCCTGGGCAGAGAGTCTCTGCTGATAGCCATCATCAATGACAACTGAAAGATCTGGGTATAGGCCGTTGCTCCAGTCTCTGATGCATATACAGTAAAACTCAAGATTATCAGGAACTAAGACCAGATGTCTGTCCCACCTGAAGACCAGATGTATCCTTACCTGGAGACCAGATGCCTCCCTGACTCAGAGACCAGCCCCCTATATAACTGGCCTGTAGTCTTTGTTCCATAAGGTGGTTCTTTCCAACATTAGTCAGCTATCTTCCCCCTTGCTAGCAAGCTGTAATAAAACCCTTTCTCTCCTATCACCTTGCCTTTCAACTGTTGGCATGTCTTGTGGGGGGCAGATGACCCCCACTTGGACAGTAACATTCTCTTGAGAATGCTCAGTCCTTCCTTGCAACTCGCTCTCTTGCTCTCCATCCCCCAGTCCTGCCCCTCACCACTTTCTGAATAGGATGCAGCTATGCATGTCTGAATCCTTGCTGTGGACATGGTTTGACTTCTTATCCCATGAGGCTCTTTGGGCCCCATGTAAATCAATGGTTGCAAATACATGGGGGGTGGGGCAGGGAGAGATTTGTGATAGGAGGTTATCATTTAATATCATCTATTTATCATATCCTAATTGCAGAGTACCCATAACTCAAGGAAAGGGTTTTTGAGATTTGAAATAAAGTAAAACATACAAAGAAAATCTATTGTGGAAATAAGGATTTATTTTGTGAAGGTGGCAGAAATCATATAAGTGCTTTCAATTAGAAATAGAAAAAATATGCATAAGGCATTATATTAGTGCCTTTATTTTGAGAAACTACAGAAAATCAGCCTATATCCCAAACCACAGAACGTAAAGTCTCTACTATTTGCTGATTGTCCTGATAAAGGCCTTCTGTGGGCCTGAGCTTGGTTCTGCTGCAGCATGGCTTAGAAAGTACTATAAAGGGTATATTGTTTGTACCCTAGGAATTTTCAGACCGAGTTCTCTTTCTTTTTTTTTTTTTTTAAAGATTTTATTTTTCCTTTTTCTCCCTAAAGCCCCCTGGTACATAGTTGTGTATTTTTAGTCATGGGTCCTTCCAGTTGTGGCATGTGGGATGCCGCCTCAGCATGGCTTGACGATTGGTGCCATGTCCACGCCCAGGATCCGAACCAGTGAAACCCTGGGCCGCCGAAGTGGAGCGTGCAAACTTAACCACTCGGCCACTGGGCTGGCCCCAGGACCCAGTTCCTTTTTGTCAAGGGATTTGTAGATTAACACAAATCAAGTTTTAGTGACCCCTATAAAAGTTTTTAGTGAGTATGTTTCTGTCTTAGGCAGTATTTAAAATTAAGAGAGAGACGATGGGGGTGGGTGGGGGGGTAGTGAGGAAAAAGCAATTACTTTGGTTTAAATTTTGAAAGAGAGAAGGTCTTCTTTTACCTAGGGATGAGGCATAGTTTGTAGGGTGGTGGGATATTGAGAAGCCCCGTAACAACAGGTGTGGTGTCAATTTCCTTCGGCTCCACCAGGGGCTTCAGGCAGAAGTTCTGCAGAATGGTGGTGAAGAACAGGAAGAGCTCCATGCGCGCCAGGCCCTCTCCAGCACAGGCCCGCTTCCCTGGAGGGAGGAGACACTTCCGTTAGCTCGCTCCACGGCCAAACACGATGTGCCCCTAAAAGCCATGGAGAACGCTGAGCAGAAGAGGGAATGCTCATAAACTGCCAGAGGACAATAAAACGGTATGGCTTTTCTAAAGGGGTATTTGTGAATACATGTCAAAATTCTCTAAAGAAATTTTCACTATTTAATTCAGGAATTCACCTTCTGGGGATTTATCTGTAGAAATTAGAGACTCACCTATGAGGATGTCACTTGCATCGTTATTTACCACACAGACGAGTTAGATGAAAACTAAACATCCATCTAGAATGGATTAATTAAATAAATCCTCATGCATCTATCATACAATGCAACCTAAACATGTTTCTATGGAAGATTATTTAATACCACATGTGTTTTCTATCACAACATACCAAGTGAAAGGTTATCAAACAGATTGTACAAAATGAACCAAATTTTAATAAACACATCTATCATGTATACCTAGACAATTGTTTGAAATGTATACAGCAAAATATCAACAGTGATTATCTCTGTAGGGTAAAATTGCTAATAACTTTTACTTTGTTTTCTTTTCTGCTTTTCTGCATTTTTATGTGGAACACTTATTACCATTGTCCTTAGAAACAAAACACATTGTTATTTTTGAAAAGAATAATCAAATGATTGGAAAGGATAACAAGGAAAAAGAATGTGTCTGACCCTTCCTAAGTTGTCTTTATGACCTTATAGGAAATAGCCACTGGGAGCCAAGAAGCTCCTGCACAGAGGCAAGGGTGTGTAAGGTGTGTGGGGTGTGAATTTCAGACGGGAAGAAAGAGGAAGAAGTGGCCGAGGTCTCTTTGATGGCCTCTGGCTCTAAGAGTCAGAAAATTAATAATGGTTAATAATTCAAGAAGAAGAAAGAAACTCGTATATTTGTTTTGGAAAAGTCAATATTACAAAGGGGAGATCAACAGACAAAAGTTTGCAAAAACAAGTCCACTTGTGGTCTGGCAACACATGACATCTGAATTGGATTGACTTGCTTTGGTTTCTTTAAAAACTGGCATTATACTCAATCAGCAAACAACAAAATTGTCCTTGGATAACTTACCTGATCCTACTTGTGTACAGACTTAAATGGCTCCGTCCAGATTTGGGGGGTTGTGACGGTTTGATATGATTGACTTTGTTATCATTAGCGGATTAGTAATGCTATGAATTCACTGAAGCTAAAAGTTGTCCAAAATGTGCGTGAGTATGGTTTGGATGGATTTATTTGCACTTACCAAGGGAAAAAGGCACAAAGTATTCTGTTTTCCTGAAGCTGCCATTTTTATCCAAAAAGTGGCCAGGGTCAAACTTCTCTGGGTTAGGAAACTCCTTGCAATCGAATAAGACTGAAGACAGTAATGGCAATACAGTAGTGCCCTGGAACCAAGAAATGGAGAGTGGAGTGGTACTTTAGCACACTTATCCTTGTTCATAACCAAGTCTAGCAACTATAGTGGATTGAATGGGACTGAGCACTCTTTTCTTCTAAAGATTGGCACCTGAGCTAACAACTGTTGCCAATCTTTTTTTCTTCTTCTGCTTTTTTCCCCAAATCCCTCCAGTACATAGTTGTATATTTTAGTTGTGGGTCCTTCTAATTGTAGCATGTGGGAGGCCGCCTCAGCATGGTGTGATAAGCAGTGCCATGTCCACGTCCAGGATCTGAACCAGCGAAACCCTGGGCCGCTGAAGCAGAGCGCTCAAACTTAAGCACTCAACAACGGGGCTGGCCCCAGGACTGAGCACTCTTAAGTTTGTCTGGTGAGTGATAGTGTCGAGTTATGGCTATTTTATACACACACATATATTTATATGGCTACTTTATGGCTACTTTATATATTGTATTTCATACAAAATCTTTTATTGAATAATAAGATGGTTCTCTGGGAAGAGCAATGTTATGGTCAATGTGCAGTAATCAATGGTTGTTGATAAACTGGGATTTGCAACCCATTTCTCTAGACATGAGCTTTACTGGAATTGCTGCCTCAAACTGGAAGAGCCTACTTTGTCACAATTTTTTTCTTTCTGAATTCAGGTATGAATGGAAGAAAATGAGATGTGAAAACTTGAATCTGTTGAATCAAAACCCACTTCCCTCACTTGTAAAATTGGGTGGGGTAACAAAAACACAATATTTTCTCCTTTTTCACAAAAGATTTTTGTGAGGTCTAAATGACAGAGTAATATGGATAACCAGCGTTTATGTCGGACGCTTCACGTTTGCCTCACGCTCTGCTTAGTTGTTTACAAATCTCGCTTAATTCTCGCTTCAGCCACACCCAGTAAGTTCTCTTTCTGTTCCTCATTATGCATCGCACTGTGTGTACATTGCGTAAGGAGGAAACTGCCATTCGGAGAGGAGAAATGACTTACTTGAGCTTATACTGTTAGCAAGTGGTGTGGTTAGAATTTGACTCAAGTTCTTTCTGACCATAAAGCATTCCTGTTTAAGTGAAAGCTTCCTTTTTCCATTTTTACTTTATTTTGTATTTCCTTAAACATTATTTTACGATTATTGGAGTAGGCGAGATATACAGAAAATACAGAAAGGTGAAAGTGAAAATATCCTCTCCCTATACTCAGGTACCCTGGTTCCCTTCTTAATGTAATCACTGTTACCAACTTATGCTATATCCTTGAGGAAATACCTTAGGGACTGAGAAAAAAAGACACATACGTATCCCCCACTATTGTAACACAAATAGTAGCATCCTATAGTGTTCTGTAGCCTGCTTGGTATTCCACTTTATAGGAATAAAAGAATTTTAGAAATTCCTTTTTTAAATAAATTTAATAAATAAAATTTAAATATTAAAGTCCTTTTTAAATGAAGATCTATGGATTTTCCAACCTTCAAATATCACAAAGAAACGAATGTTCTTATTTTTGGAAAATATACATAAATTCCTAATAGTGGAACTGCTCTTCAAATTGTACATATTTTTTAAAATTTTGATAGGTATTGTCACATCTCCTGCCATAGAGGTTACATCAATTTATATTGCTAACAAAAATATATGCTTTTTTACATCCTGCCAACATATTATGATGAGTAAAAATATGTTTCTTTATAGTTTTTATTTTCAACATATTTTATTTTGTGAGTATATTTTTATAGATTTAAGAACCATTTGTATTACTTTTACTTAAATTTTAGTTTGGTTTCCCTTGCACGTATCCGTTGGGTTTTGGGTTTGTTCATACTGACTGTAGGAATTCATTTTATTTTTCAGTAATTAGTCTTCTGCTCTAATGAGCTGTGCAAAATTTCCTCTCAGTTTGTCATTTGACCTCGTTTCTTTTTCTAGGCAGATTTTTCTTATTTGCATGTAACAAAATTTATCTATTTTTAAATTTCTGGCCCTCTTGTTCCTCTTTTCTTTGGTCATTGTTAGAAAATCTTTTGTCACTCTGAAATTCTCAAAAAAATTATTGCTTTTATCCCTAGTGCTTTTAGTTTAACATTCTATGTGTATATATTTGAACCACAAAGAATAAATTTTCATGTAAAGTGTGAGGTAGGGATCTATTATGATTTTTTTCCAACTTCTCTGGGAGTTTTCCAATCTCAATTGAATAGTCCATATTTTCCCTCTGGGTTACAAGGAAAAAGGCACCTTTATCATGTACCAAGTTTCCATGTATAATTAAGTTTATTTCTAGGCTTTATTCAATTGATCCATCTATTTAAGAAGCTGTATTACACTACTATAATAACTGTGACTTTTATATATTTTATTATTATTTATATATATATTTTATATATTTTTATTACATTATTTATATATTATTATTATTTTAATATTTGTTAGGACCTGTCCCTGACTATCCTTTATTTTTTAATTTTCCATATCAAATTTGGGATCTGTTAGTATAGTTCCAAAAAAATCTGGTTGATATTTTCATTGAGATCTCATAAATGTATAAATTGATTTGGGGATAATTGCTATTTTCCTACCCAAACACAGAATAAGTCTTTTAATTTATTCAAAAATTTTATATCCCTCACTAACGTTTTATTTTATTTTATTTTTTGTGGAAGATTAGCCCTGAGCTAACATCTGCTGCCAATCCTCCTCTTTTAGCTGAGGAAGACTGGCCCTGAGCTAACACCTGTGCCTATCTTCTGCTACTTTATATGAGGGACGCCTGCCACAGCATGGCTTGACAAGCAGTGTGTAGGTGCACACCCGGGATCCGAACCGGTGAACCCCAGACCGCTGAAGCAGAACATGCACACTCAACGGCTGCGCCACTGGGCCGGCCCCTGAAACTGTTTAAATGTAAAACTCAAGCCCTTAATCACTACAGAAGACTGACTGCATCCCCAGTAAACGTTTTGGTAAATGCTAAAGGCTCTACAAATGTCAACTGTTAGGGGCAGCAATATCCCAAATTTCCTGGTACATGAGGTCCTGGGAAGGGAGAATTGGGGTTAAAGAAGGTTGACGTTTGGCTTGCTTACCTTACAGCTGCAGACACATTTTCCATCTCTTCTTCCTTTTTTTAATTCATCATGAAAAATCAAATTTCAGTTCCTACAGGATTCTCACCAATGGAAATCACTGCTCCCTTAATACATTCTATATGAGAGTGAGAGGAGGCCTTGGAAGCCCAGCTCAGCCTCCCAGAAGTTCTAGGAAGGCAGAGACAGGGTCACAGAGGTACAAAATGACCTGAGTGTGCACTGCATGGCAGTGACGGATTTCAAACCCAGCCCATGTGACTCTAACCTTGTGTTCTTTCCTCAACTCTTTCCGCCTCTCTTCCTGCAACAGAACTGAGAAGGCTCTCACAGGCCCCACCGAGGTATCATGCCACCCCTTCTGTCTCAGCCAGCTTTCCCAGATGCATCTAACCTTGGGGATGACATAGTTTTTGAATTTTGTGTCCCGGGTCACAGCATGGGGTAGATCAGAAGGCAGGAGGGTGATGTATCTTTGTATCTCGTGCAACACGGCCTCTGTGTAGGGCAGCCTCATCTTGTCTTTCATGCAGGGGCTTTGGTTGCGTCCGATCACACGGTCAATTTCTTCATGCACTTTGGCTGCAGAGACACGAATCATGAATGCTACTCAAGAGATGTGTTCCCTGGCGAGCTGAAGATGACCTGAAATGCTTGTAATGTGCAAAAGAAAGTGGCCTAGAAAAGACTTCCGAGATCAAAGACATGTCACTAAGCAGCCCCTTGCCCTGCTCCTGATGGCATTTCTATTTTCCCCTTTGCTGCAAATACTAGAGATTTTGCTGCAGGGAACATAAAGTATGTCCTCAGCCTCCCGCCTTAATTGGTTTGTTCTCGTGTACAGGTGAGGAGAGGACCTTTGTGGCAGGGATTATGGCTTATCCCATGATTCCTGGCAAAGGAGCTGTGGAGAAAAAATGTTTAGTCCTCACTCTAGTGGGAGCATCTCCTTTGTCAACTTCATCCACTCGCCTGCATGTTTTGCGGGAAAGGCAAACACCATTTTGTTGAGCAATATAAACACTGGCTTATTAAGGCCTATCCTCTAAGAATGTGCTTGAGAAAATGGAGCTAGTACAATTTCATTTTTGAATTTTAAATTATACCGGAGCTAAAAATCCCCTTTGGAGAGTTTAGTCCATTTTCAAGATGGGAAAACAGAGGCCAGCAAGATGAAATAACTTGTTTGAGGTCACACAGCAAGGTATTGGCCCAGGATGAGAATTCAACATGGGAACACACGTGACCCTCATCTAAATAGGACTCGCCCTTTGGCATTGCATCTCATATGTGAATTGGGATTCAGAAACTTCTCTGTTTTTAAACGTAAATGACAGCCCTTGAATTCTTAAAGATCTCTCTTCCTTATCAGCGTCATTAGATATAATTCTGACCTACAAAAACAAAACCACATGGATGGCCCTTTGCATGATGCTGTACAAGGCGGCCCAGAGAAAGCAAAGCAGTCACTGTCAGCAGGATCTTCCCACCCTCATCTAAAGCCAGGATCTCATCTTTGATTCGGTCACTAGGATGTTTGCTGTACCTTCCACTTCTGGGTGTTTCATTAGGAGCAGGAGTCCCCATCTTAGGGTGCTACTGGTTGTCTCTGTTCCTGCTGTAAACAAATTTGATCCACAGACAGCCAAGTTCTCCAAGTTAAATTCAGACTCTGGTTTGTGCTTCTCCTGCAAATGGTAGAGTTAATAGCTACATGAGTTAAAAAGAAGGCAGTGCCTCATCAGAGCTCCACGGTCACACTGCTTCACTAGTAACAGGCTTCATTTTGTGCACTGTAGTGTAGTGGATAAAAAAATCGGTCATGGAATCAAAACTTCTGGGTCCAAATCCCAGGTTAGTCAATGAACAGATGTGTGCCTTTGGCAAGTTACTGTACCTCTTTACTCGGTTTCATCATCTGTGAAATTGGGATAAAAAAGATAGAACATACCCCATAAGGTTATTATATAGATTAAAAGAGTGAATGGGTGGAAGCTCTTGGAACAATGCTTCATATATACAAATACTCAGTGAATGGTATCTTCTTTTATTACATTTAGGGGAAAGGACTAGATGATCAGCTCTAGGTGAGCACAATGTAGAGAAATCATTGGTTCATGAGGGTCTGTTTCCTTCACTTATGCAGACTTAGACACTCCCGGCCCCACTCACTCACATATGACATTCCTCATTATTAATGTCATTCCTAATACGAAGACTGTATTTGTAGATGTAGGATGTTTTGACTCAAAATTGTTTACATGGAATTGACAAAGTGTTTAGAAAATAAATCGATCCAGGGCTTAAAAATAGTGAGTGAGCTTTCTATTACAAAATAATTATACCAAAAGTAATAGAGATTAAGTCTTCTCTGTTGATGCATCCCCAGCCCTTGGTATAATAACTGGCACTAAGAATTTGTTGAATAAATGAACGTTTAATGAAATAACACTAGTTAAGTTCTTTTTTTTTTTTTTAAGATTTTGGGGCCAGCCTGCTGGCGCAGTGGTTAAGTTCTCACGTTCTGCTTCTCAGCGGTCCCGGGTTCGCCGGTTTGGATCCCGGGTGTGGACGTGGCACCACTTGGCACACCATGCTGTGGTAGGCATCCCACATATAAAGTAGAGGAAGATGGGCATGGATGTTAGCTCAGGGCTAATCTTCCTCAATAAATAAATAAAAAATAAGATTTTATTTTTCCTTTTTCTCCCAAAGTCCCCTGGTACATAGTTGTGTATTTTTAGTTGTGGATCCTTCTAGTTGTGGCATGTGGGATGCCGCCTCAGCATGGCCTGATGAGCGGTGCCGTGTCTGTGCCCAGGATTCTAACCGGTGAAACCCTGGGCCGCTGGAGCAGAGTGCGCGAAATTAGCCACTCGGCCACGAGGCCAGCCCCCACTAGTTAAGTTCTATATTTCGCTATATTCAAATTATTTTCATTGCTGATTATTTTTTGGTAGGCTTTTAATACCATTGGTTTTTAAATTTGAGGAAAGCATTAGGGTGCTTGTTTTTAAAATTAGCTTCATTTTTAAAGCCGTGAATCAAACTTTTCTTCACTCGGGTTCTTTATACCATGTATCTCCTGTTCATTTCAAAATGGGATGATTTCTGTGTATAGATGTCCAAGTTTTTAGGCACATTGTCATTTCCTACCTATGGTCCTTACTGCATTTATATGGAATCAAGAATACTGAGCATTTTAAATAACTCTCTCACAACAGAACGTCTAGTTAGTTTTCAAAAGTCTTTTGCTGGTGAAGAGAGTTAGGAAGAAAATGGAAATGTTAACATATATTTTATTTATGTTCTAACTCTGTAATTTAACTAAGGATGGACAACACCATTTTATTAATTCTTAACACAACCCAAATCTATTATCTAGTAAGTTTGTAGAGATTTAATATTAAAACAGAATGGAACGAAACTAATAGGAAAGCAGAAACACTTCAGAAGTTTCTACCCATCATCTATTGATAGCTATCTTACAGGAAAATAGACATGGAGCGGAGAAGGAGGAATGGTTGAAATCCAGACATTGGCATAGCAACTTTCCTTTTGTTCCTTCCTCTGGCCCTGTTCAGTGGATCTCAAGGCTTTTGTATATGTGTTAACAACTGCCCATGGTGCCCTGCCAGTGTTTCCTGTATTGGTAAATGACCCCAACCTCCATCCAGTTAGGCAAACCAGGAACCTAGCACCTCATCTCTTGCATTTCCCAACTCGTCACCAATACTATTAATTTTACCTCCTAAATATCTCTCAAATCTATCCATTTCTCTTCATTTCCACCACCAGCACCTATGGCTACCATCTCTGCCTTGGGCTACTGCAATAGTCTTATGTAGAAGATGCTGTTGGTGCCCTGCCCAGATACCTTTTACTGGTTCAGGTCCCCTATGGCCCAACCTGCAGCTTTCTCTGGAGGAGTCCCTTGGGCACTGGAGCCACATTGCCAAGAGATGCATGGGAGCTAGCTGCCGCACCACCCTCAGGGGCTGCCTATAGCCGATGACTAATGGGCACAGGGGTACAAAACTCCAGCTTCCTTGCTTCAGGGCGTGACAAACTCCACGCTGCAATTGATACTCTACAGCCCTCTGTAGGATCCAGCAGAGACTAGACCTTATGTGAAACCACACCGATGTTTAACTTTTTCCCCTTCCCTATCCTTCACATACAAATTTCTCCTGATGGTGCTCCTTTCATAAATCACTTTCATACAAATCCCTATTTTATAGGCTCTGCTACCAGGAAACTTAACCTCAGTCAACTTCTAGCTGTTCTCTCTGTATCTACTGTTAACCTCACCAATCTGTCCTCCACATTACAAATATGATCATTCTTGACACGGTGCTTCAACCCTGCAAATCTTATCCTAATGTTATTGATATTAGGATAGAAACTAAACTAAGTAATATGGCCTGCCAGGCCCTGCGTGAATGGTCAACGTACTGGTGCTTCAGCTTCTCTCCCACCACTCTCCCCCACTCCTTCCCTGCCAGTCACACTGGCTTTCATTCTACCCCTCATATTTCTAAGCTTCCTTCTGCCTCAGGGCTTTTGCACATCTTGTTTTTCTGCTTAGTATATTTTTCTCTATTGCCTTTACACAGGTAATCCCTACTTACCCTTCAGCTCTCAGTTCAATTGTCACCTGTGTGTGCAGGGACGTACCCAGTGGGCCTTGGGTTGGCGGTCCCTTGTTCACTCACATCAGACTGGCATTAGTGTTCCTGCCACTCTTTCCTATAGCAACTCGTACTTCCTTATTACCACTTCATTGTTGCTGTTGGTTTTGATGATCTTTGCACTAGACTGTAAGCTCCATTAAGTCAAGGACTATATCTTCATTAATCAATTAGTAAAGTTATTCAACAAGTATTTATTGTGCACCTATCCTATGCTAAGCATCATGCTAGTTGCTGGTAATACAAAGTGTGGAAAATCAACACTGACCCCGCCCTCTTGGGGTATACGTGCAGTGGAGAATGTAGAAGTCAATTAAATAAGTATTTCCTTAAACTGTCACAAATGCTATGAAAGCAAATTGCAGGATACTATCTGATTCCTCCTTTTATTCCCTTCACCAAGCCTGATCACCGTGTCTGATACATAGTTAGTACTAAATAATATTTTCAAAAGATTGAATTAATAGCCTGGCTCTGTTTTCTTTCTTTTTCCCAGACGATCATCTAGCCCACTGAAAGTCAGCAACAAACTTTTCCTTCAGAATGCAGAGGATATTTTGGTGCACATCCTTGGTAAGTGGAATGAGTTTAAATGCCTCTACTATCCCAGGGAAGTTTCTGAGCGGGAAAAGGGGCATCAACATGCCTTCTTTAGATGTGTTTTCTAAGGAAACCAGGCTGTCCAAATCAGCCTTCCTAGGGCTTAAGAAGACTAAGCAAGTTATTATTAATTAAATGTTTGCTATAATTTGTACATTTAGTTGAGAGATATTTTTCTTTCATTTATATATATTTGGGGGACCTTTGCATAAACAATGTTAATTTTACAGCGCTCAAACCACAATCTTCATATTCTAAGTTGTTATATATGTGCTTACATTTAAATATCTTTTTTACAATCTATTGCTGGTCACAGTCGTGACTGTTTTTCTACAGATGTGCTCATGGACAGTCATGCTGCTATTTCTGTTCAGTGACATTCTGAGGATTTGTGGCTGTGTGAGTACGAGCTATTCAATATTTTTAATACCACCCATGGTTAATGTATAATGTATTTCCTTTAGAATCTTTATCCACCACCAGTTTCAAATAACAAAAATTGTTTCTATGGGAAAATACAATCAGCTTTTTATAATGTATTGGTCTAATGACGTACTATCTGGGAAGCATTGTGGCAAAAATGGCTGATGACGTACGTGTAAATGATGGGTAGACAAAAATGCATGTGTGTTTTATCCACCCCAAGATAAACATGTGTTCAAAAACAGGAATTTATGGGCCAGCCCGATGGTGCAGCGGTAAAGTGCACACGTTTCACTTTGGTAGCAAGGGGTTCGCAGGCCGGGATCCCGGGTGTGGACATGGCACTGTGCATCAAGCCATGCTGTGGCAGGCATCCCACATATAATGTAGAGGAAGATGGGCATGGATGTTAGCAAAAAGAGGAGGATTGGCATCAGATGCTGGCTCAGGGTTGATCTTCCTCAAAAAAAAAAAAAAACCCAGGAATTTACATATGTAATATCACGTAGCTCTTTTTTTTAAAAAAAGATTTTATTTTTCCCTTTTTTCTCCCAAAGCCCCCTGGCACATAGTTGTGTATTTTTAGTCGTGGGTCCTTCTAGTTGTGGCATATGGCACGCCGCCTCAGCGTGGCCTGAAGAGCGGTGCCACGTCCACAACCAGGATCCAAACCGGTGAAACCCTGGGCCGCCGAAGCAGAGCGCACGAACTTAACCACTTGGCCACGGGGCCAGCCCCAGATGTAGCTCATCTTAAATATGTAGCGGGAATATTTAAATGTTAATGTCCAAGTGTAGGAAGTAAATAGAATTACAAAGGAAAAAGAGGTCTTTGGACTATTTTTGAATTTCTATTGCTAATAGTGTACCCCATTGCCGTAACATATCAAGAATTACCTACATGGTGTGATCCTGCTTTCACACACTTCTGTGGAATGATAAAATGTAGGTTCAGGGAAAGATGTCGCACACAGTACCTGCTCCATCTTGCTGAGGAAACAGTCAATGTAGTCTCGAGGGTTATTAGGGTCCAGGGACTCTTGATGCGCCTTCACTTTTTCCAGAATGAAATTTTTAACACCATCAAGCCTTTTGGAAAATGCTTTGTGCTCTCCAGGGAGATGTCTTATGAGTGTTGGCCATAGATTGTATATCTAAATATGAGGCAAAAATACACTGGAAATTAGTTTGTGAAGAGAGACCAGAGTTTCTGAGTGGGGCACCTAATCTCTGTGTGGTCTGGCCAGGGAGAAACGCTTCCTCCAGCTTCCAAACAGAAGAGAAGGGAGTATGATCATCACATACAGGAGAGCATCCCCTTTCCATCTCCTTGCTCATCTTGACTTCAGCCAGCCTGGAGTCAGAGAGGCAGAAATGTGTGTAAGGGCCTTAAAAGAAATGCAGGCAACTGAGGATGTTCTGTCTTGTTTTGTGTGACTCAACCCATGGAGGCAAGCAGAAGGCAACCTTCCATAGGTGCTGGGATAAGCGGCATTGCACTCATTCACTCGGCAGACGTGGAAGCAAGGTGATATTGCTCATGTGGGCACTTTGCTGACAGAGTAGGTCTGGGGCGCTCATAGCCCGTTACCTTACCCGCAGGCTACCAGCGGACCAACGAGATCAACGGCGAGTGCAGATGGCCATACCTGGTTCCATGGAGAGCTTATTTGCTTAAAATTTTCAGTCAGCAAATACATCAGGGAGAGGAACGTCTCATTCTTGTAGTGGAAACGCTCATTGAAGAGGATGGAGCAGATCACATTGCAGGGAGCACAGGCGAAGACGAAGACAGGGTCAAAGGGCTGAGCTGATGTGAGAACAGAACAGCTCTAACATTTAGACTTCTCCTCAGCCTGCATCAGGATTTCAAGAACGGGGCCTCCCTCCTGCTCAGATTCATGCATATAGTTTATTTCCTCTAAACTTCCCCAAATTAGGATGTGGGCATCTTCTAATAATACTAATACTACATGCTATATAGTATTATACTATGCTCCTAATAATATTTATGTTATTATATGAACACTATAATAATCAAAAGAGCAGCAAGTAATGTTATGGAGTATTTATGACATGCTGAATACTGTGTAAATGTTTTGCAAAATGTATTATCTACCCCTCAAGTTGAGGTTTGATTTTTAGCCTCATTTTTCAGAAGAGGAAACTGCATCTTAGAGAAGTTGTCACTTATGCAAATTTACACACCCAGTAAATGCAGAAGTTGGGAAAAGAATCCAAGTGAAAGGATTTGAGAGTCATAACTAATAGCTTTGGGTCATTTTTTTCTCAACCCCTTTTTCCTACTCGACTCTCTGATTAATAGAGCAGATCGTGGATCATAGAGAGACTCCCAAAGGAGGAGCTTTGATTGGGGGTGGTGTGTGCAGGACATCCCCGCCCCTAAAGGGATGGTTAATGGAATTCACCCTCCATTTTTCTGAGCTCCTCCACCAGGCACCGGGCTTCCTCCTGGACCCTCTCCTCGATGCTTCTCTTCCCCATCCCAAAGTTCCTCAGGGTCATGAGGGAGAAGCGCCGCATTTGCTTCCATGTCTCTCCATTGCTGAAGAGGATTCCTAGGGAACGAAGCAAAGAGCAGGAAAGTATCTTGCATCACCGAGTCGGATTTTCCCTCAAGCTGATCTCTTGTGTGTACCCTGAACTGTTTCCAGGGCCCCTTATGGGGATTCAGCAACTGGCAAGTTAAGAGCACAACATATTCTGTAGTTTGGGTGAAAAATTTGTCACAAAGAAAATAAAACCCAAGGGGCCAGAGATGGTGGAATTGGGCAGGGGGAATCATCGGCAGCTGGAGAATATTCCCAAGAATGGGAAGGGCCCTCTGTGTGGTTTTGTTACAAATGGTCAAAATGGCATGTGTTCTCACAAACCACTTTCCCAAGGGTCTGTTTTTACACTTAATATCCCTCTAACTTGTGGTTTATTTCCTCTATGTGATTTCCTCTATTAGAGGATAACCTGTAAGCAACTTCAGAGCAGATCAATGAGATCTATGTTTCTATTCTCCTCTGAATTTACTACAGCTAATGTTAGCCTAATCTGAAGAAGAAGAAACTAAGGAGCAAAGGAACTCGGTGTGATCCATGCCAATGCTTTTTAACTTCTTCCTCTGTACAAAACCAGCTATGGATTCTGAATTTCCTGTTGCTCTTTTTTTTTTTTTTCTTTTTTCTTTTTTTTCTTATTGAGTTAATGATAGGTTGCAATCTTGTGAAATTTCAGTTGTACATTAATGTTTGTCATTCGTGTTGTAGGTGCACCACTTCACCCTTTGTGCCCACCCCCCACCCCACCTTTCCCCTGGTAGCCACTAAACTGTTTTTAGTCCATAATTTTAAATTCCTCATATGAGTGGAGTCATACACAGATTATCCTTCTCTTGCTGGCTTATTTCACTTAACATAATTCCCTCAAGGTCCATCCATGTTATTGCAAATGGAATGATTTTGTTCTGTTTTGCAGCTGAGTAGTATTCCATTGTATATATGTACCACATCTTCTTTATCCATTCGTCTGTTGCTGGGCACTTAGGTTGCTTCCACGTCTTGGCTATTGTAAACAGTGCTGCAATGAACATTCGGGTGCATAGGACTTTTGGGATTGCTGACTTCAAGCTCTTTGGATAAATACCCAGTAGTGGGATGGCTGGATCGTATGGTAGTTCTATTTGTAATTTTTTGAGGAATCTCCATACTGTTTTCCATAGTGGCTGCACCAGTTTGCATTCCCACCAGCAGTGTATGAGGGTTCCTTTTTCTCCACAACCTCTCCAACATTTGTTACTATTAGTTTTACATATTTTTGTCATTCTAATGGGTGTAAGGTGATATCTTAGTGTAGTTTTGATTTGCGTTTCCCTGATGATCAGCGATGATGAGCATCTTTTCATGTGCCTATTGACCATCAGTATATCTTCTTTGGAGAAATGTCTGTTCATGTCTCCAGCCCATTTTTTGATTGGGTTGTTTGATGTTTTGTTGTTGAGTTGCAAGAGTTCTTTATATATTATGGATATTAAGCCTTTGTCAGATATATGACTTGCAAATATTTTTTCCCAGTTAGTGGGTTGTTTTTTTGTTTCAATCCTGTTTTCATTTGCCTTGAAGAAGCTCTTTAGTCTGATGAAGTCCCATTTGTTTATTCTTTCTATTGTTTCCCTTCCCTGAGAAGGCATGGTGTCTGAAAAGATCCTTTTAATACTGATGTCAAAGAGTGTACTGCCTACGTTTTCTTCCAGAAGCCTTATGGTTTCAGGTCTCACCTTTAGGTCTTTGATCCATTTTGAGTTTATTTTGGTGAATGGTGAAAAAGAATGGTCAATTTTCATTCTTTTACATGTGGCTTTCCAGTTTTCCCAGCACCATTTGTTGAAAACACTTTCTTTTCTCCATTGTATGCCCTCAGCTCGTTTGTCAAAGATAAGCTGTCCATAGATGTTGGTTTTATTTCTGGCTTTCAATTCTGTTCCATTGATCTGTGCACCTGTTTTTGTACCAGTGCCATGCTGTTTTGATTACTGTAGCTTTGTAGTATGTTTTGAAGTCAGGGATTGTGATGCCTCCTGTTTTGTTCTTTTTTCTCAGGATTGCTTCTGAAATTCGGGGTCTTTTGTTGCCCCATATGAATTTTAGGATTCTTTGTTCTAATTCTGTAAAGAATGTCATTGGCATTCTGATTGGGATGGCGTTGAATCTGTAGATTGCTTTAGGTAGAACGGACATTTTAACTATGTTTATTCTTCCAATCCATGTACATGGAATGTCTTCCCATCTCCTTATGTCGTCATCCAATTCTCTCAGAAAGGCCTTGTAATTTTCATTATATAGGTCCTTCACTTCCTTAGTTAAATATACCCCAACGTATTTTATTCTTTTTGTTGCAATTGTGAATGGTATTGTATTCTTGAGTTCTTTTTCTGTTGGTTCATTACTGGAGTATAGAAATGCTACTGATTTATACAAATTGATTTTGTACCCTGCAACTTTGCTGTAGTTGTTGATTACTTCTAACAGTTTTCCAATGGAGTCTTTGGGGTTTTCTATATATAAGATCATGTTGTCTGCAAACAGCAAGAGTTTCACTTCTTCCCTCCCTATTTGGATTCCTTTTATTCCTTTTTCTTGCCTGATTGCTCTGGCCAGGACCTCCAGTACTATGTTAAATAAGAGTGGTGATAGAGGGCATCCTTGTCTCGTTGCTGTTTTCAGGGGGATGGCGTTCAGTTTTTGCCCATTGAGTATGATGTTGGCTATGGGTTTGTCATATATGGCCTTTATTATGTTGAGGTATTTCCCTTCTATGCCCATTTTGTTCAGAGTTTTTATCATAAATAGCTGTTGGATCTTGTCAAATGCCTTCTCTGCATCTATTGAGATGATCATGTGGTTTTTATTCCTCTGTTTGTTGATGTGGTGTATCACATTGATTGATTTGCAGATGTTGAACCATCCCTGTGTCCCTGGTATGAATCCCACCTGATCATGATGTATGATCCTTTTGATGAATTCCTGAATTCTGGTTGCCAAAATTTTGTTTAGAATTTTTGCATCTATGTTCATCAGTGATATTGGCCTGTAGTTCTCTTTTTTCGTGGTGTCCTTGTCAGGCTTTGGTATCAGCATGATGTTGGCCTCATAGAATGTGTTAGGAAGTGTTCCATCCTCCCTAATTTTTTGGAATAGCTTGGAAAGGATAGGTATTAAATCCTCTCTGAAAGTTTGGTAGAATTCCCCAGGAAAGCCATCTGGTCCTGGGGTTTTATTCTTTGGGATGTTTTTGATTGCTGTTTCAATCTCTTTCCTTGTGATTGGTCTGTTCAAACTGTCTGCTTCTTCTTGAGTGAGCTTTGGGAGATTGTAGGAGTCCAAGAAATTATCCATTTCCTCTAGGTCATCCATTCTGTTGGCATATAGTTTTTCGTAGTATTCTCTTATAATCTGTTGTATTTCCGCAGAGTCTGTTGTTATTTCTCCTTGCTCATTTCTGATTTTGTTTATTTGAGCTTTCTCCCTTTTTTTCTTTGTAAGTCTGGCTAGTGGTTTGTCAATTTTATTTATCTTCTCAAAAAACCAGCTCTTTGTTTAATTGATCCTTTCTACTGCCTTTTTTGATTCAATAGTATTTATTTCTGCTCTGTTCTTTTTTCTCTAGTTCAGTTAGGTGTATTTTAAGGTTGCTTATTTGGGATTTCTCTTGTTTGTTAAGATGTGCCTGTATTGTGATGAATTTTCCTCTTAATACAGCTTTTGCTGTATCCCGTATGAGTTGGTATGGCATGCTATCATTTTCATTAGTTTCCAGGTATTTTTTTATTTCTTCTTTAATTTCTTCAATGATCCATTGCTTGTTCAGTAGTGTATTGTTTAGTCTCCACATCTTTGTGCCTTTCTCAGCTTTTTTCTTGTAATTAATTTCTAGCCTTATAGCACTAAGATCAGAGAAGATGCTTGTTATTATTTCAATTTTTTTAAATTTGTAGAGGCTTGCCTTGTTTCCCAACATATGATCTATCCTTGAGAATGTTCCATGTGTGCTTGAGAAGAATGTGTATTCAGCTCTTTCAGGGTGGAGTGATCTATATATGTCTATTAAGTCCAATTGTTTTAGTTTTTCATTCAGCTCCACTATTTCCTTGTTGATTTTCTGTCTGGATGATCTGTCCATTGATGTGAGTGGGGTGTTGAGGTCCCCTACTATTATTGTGTTGTTTTTAACATCTTCCTTTAGGTCTGTTAATAGTTGCTTTATGAATCTTGGTGCTCCTGTGTTGGGTGCATAGATATTTATAAGCGTTATTTCTTCTTGATGAAGTGTCCCTTTGATCATTATATATTGTCCCTCTGTGTCTCTCTTTACCTGTCTTATTTTGAAATCCACTTGGTCTGATATAAGAATTGCAACACCTGCCTTTTTTTCCTTGCTATTTGCTTGAAGTATTGTCCTCCACCCCTTCACCCTGAGTCTGTGTTTGTCCTTGGGGCTGAGGTGTGTTTCCTGGAGGCAACAAATTGTTGGATCTTGTTCTTTAATCCATTTTGCCACTCTGTGTCTTTTTACTGGAGAGTTCAATCCGTTTACATTGAGAGTGATTATTGATGCATGTGGACTTGATGCTGTCAATCTGTCGCTCATTATCTTATTTTCCTGCATTTCTTTTCCTGTTTCCTTTAGCCTACCCATTTAATACTGCAATTTCTTATGCTGGGTTTCTTAGATTTTTCCTTATTTATGATTTGTGACTCTGTTCTGTACTTTATTTTAGTGTCTACCTTGAAGTTTGTATTTAGAATCTCGTGTATAATATAGTCTATTCTCTGGTGGTCTCTTACTTACTTGGCCAATACTGATTTAGACCCTTTGCTCTTCCCCTCCTAAATAATTATTTTCATTTTTTATTCCAACTCGTCTCATTAATTTGTAGTTAGAGTGATAAGATCGTCCTTGTTTTGGTAGTTTCCTTATTTTTACCCTAATGCTATAGTTGAATATTTGCTATCCTGTTCTGGTTCTATCCATCGGTCTCCCTAGTCTGTGGATTGTGTCCCCTTTCTCCCTTTTGTCTTTTTTCAGGTTTGAGAGCCTTCTTGAGGATTTCTTGTAATGGAGGGCTTTTAGTTACAAATTCCCTTAACTTTTGTTTGTCTGGAAAAGATTTAATTTCTCCCTCATATCTGAAGGAAATTCTTGCTGGATAGAGTATTCTTGGCTGAAGATTTTTATCTTTTAAAGCTTTGAATATGTCACTCCATTCTCTCCTAGCTTGTAAGGTTTCTGTAGATAAATCCACTGACACTCTGATAGGGGCTCCTTTATAGGTTATTCTCTTCTTTTTTCTTACTTCCCTGAGTATTCTTTCCTTATCTTTCCTTTTTGCCAATTTTACTACTATGTGCCTTGCAGTAGGTCTTTTTACATTGACAAATCTAGGAGATCTAAAACCCTCCTCTACACACATTTCTCCATCGATCCCTAGATTTGGGAAGTTCTCTTCAATAATTTCGTTAAGCACACTTTCTGCTCCATTTTCCTTTTCCACATTCTCGGGAATTCCTATGATCTTTATGTTCTTACTCTTCATTGAATCCATTATCTCTCGGAGATTTTCCTCATTTTTTTTAATTCTTAGTTCTCTTTCTTCCTCTGTCTGGAGCCATTCAGCTTGTCTTTCTTCAATTATGTTAATTTGCTCTTCTATGGTGTCTACACGGGCATTCAGGGAATCCGCATTCTGTTTTATCTGGTCCATTGTGTTTTTCATCTCTAGTAATTCTGTTTGATTCTTCTTTATGATTTCAATCTCTTTTGTGAAGTAACTCCAGAACTCGGCTTGTTTCTCTATCTTTCTCTCTACCTCATTGAGTTTTTTTATTATAGCTGCTCTGAACTCAGTATCACTTAGTTTACCTAATTCCAAGTCCTCAGGACTTAATTCTATGTTTTTATTGTTTTCCTTCTGCTCTGGGGCTTTTATAAATTGCTGGATGGTAGAGGAGCGGTTTTTTCGCATGGTGGTAGAATTCGGTTGCAGTTACAGCCTGTTGCAATTGAAAATGTGTTCCTTCTCTTGAGAGGGAAAATTTCCACATGTGCCCTGGATCCTATAGCATCTCACCTTCCCAAGGGTTTTACTTCTTTGGTAAAGCCTTCTCCACCCTGGATTACCCATTTCTCTCTGTGCTTGTCCCGAGAGCCCTCCTTCTTCCGTTATTGGCCCTGATCCACAGTGTTATAGATGCTGCAGGCTAAATTTCCCGTGCTCCCACACTTGGCAGCTGGCTCTGACTGGGGTAAGCCAAATGGAGGCTGTGGCAAGAGGTTGGAGAGGAGAAAGAAAGGAGAAGCCAGAGATTCCCTGCCCTGCCCACTGCCCCACCTCAGATGGCATCTCTCCCACAGCTGTCCTAGGTTTTTTGATGGTCTAAGTTTTGAAACAATAATAAAATGAATTATCTGTGAGCCTATTGTCCAACTGAAGACCTATAAAATGACAAGTACCATTGTAGCTCCCTCTGCATTGCCTCCCTGATCCTACCAACCCTCCGCGACCCAAACCAGGCTGTCATTGAAAACAGTAATTCCTAGATCTAGTGATTTGTTTATTGTTGCTGCCACTGTGCCACTGTAGTGACAACACCACAAGAGTCCCTTCTCCAGCTCCCTCAACCCTAAGACCTGTGGGTAACAATTTTTGTTTCTAGAGGTTCCCAGATTGTTTCCACTGCATCATATTTGCAGATTTACCTTACAGGGAATCTGGAGTCTGTTTTTGATGTCCATCTCAATAGAGTTCTCAGAGCATCGGTTGTATAGTAAAAGAATGTCTGGTCTTTGTCCCTGGTTCCTGGGAGGGTGCTTCTATACCCTTGGGATCTTTCAAGTGTTGAAAGTATCTTTGTTATTTATGATGAGCCCCTGGGATCATGCTTGAGTTTACAATAACGAGGACTCATTGTGACTCATTGTGGGCCCCTAGACAGTTTCAAGACAGGGCTGGCCATGCCAGAAAGACCAACTGTGTATTTAGAGGGTTGGGACTTTCAGCCAACAGATACCAGCCTGACCTCAGGTGGTAGAGATTGAGATTGAGCTTGAGTTCCATCAGGTGGTCAATGGCTCAATCAATCATGCCCATGTAATGAAGCTCCAATTAAAAACTCTGGACACGAAAGCTCAGGTGAGCTTCCTGGTTGGTGAACACATCAATGTGCCAAGAGGGTAACACACTATGATTCCTAGGGGGAGGATACAGCTCTGCACTGGGGACCCTCCAAGACCTCACCCTATATGACTCTTCACTTGTATTTTTGTATAAAATACACCCTTTATATAATAAAACTTTACTTATAAGTATGGAACGTTCCTGAGTTCTGTGAGTCATTCCAGCAAATGAGGGCAGTCTTGTTGGGGACAATGCCCTTAACCTATGGAGTCTGCACTATCTAAACTAACTAACTAACTAACTAACATTAGTTGCTTGGTGCAGAACAGACACATTAAGTTAGTTAATCGGATTTTTTTGCCAAAGAAAATTAACCTATATTTTGATTTGGAACATACCATGTCCTTTCTGGTTATCTTCAATAATTGGAAAACGTCCTCTGCCAAGGAATTCATCAGCCTGATCAATCAGAGCTTCCTTCACCACCTCATAACCGTGTAAGACCACAGTCAGCTGGGGTCCAAAGTACAGAGTGTAAACAGGGCCATACTCTTTGGCCATCTGGAAAGAGATGTAGCAGTTGTGTAAGTACTATTGTGAAATCTCTCCTTTGGAAGCTTGGGTAGAAATTAAGCAACAGTTTACATGTGGCTTAGCCTTTGCTCCATCAAGTCCACTTTAGGAATTTAACTTGGGGTGTAGTCATGGATTCAGTTTACTTTATTTACATATGCAATCACTGAACAAATATTTACTAAATACCTATATTGCATCAGACACTGTGCACAGCCCAGGAGCCCTCATGGAACTTAGAGTCTAAACGGTAAACAGCAAAACAAACTACATTTGCAATACTAATTAAGCATAATTCCATGAAAGTGATAAAGACAGTGTTGGATGATAATGGGAGAATTTAATAAAATAGAATGTTCAAGAATCTATGAGGGAGATCCAGTGTCAAGATGGCAGCACAGGAGGACTCTGAGCTCATCTCCTCCCATGGACACAACAAACTTACAACTACTCTTGAAGTAACTACCCCTGAGAGAAAACTGAAAACTGGATAAAAAGGACCCTCACAACAAGAGACAGTGCTGAGTGAGATGGAAGAGGCCGAAATTCCTTTCTGGGGAGGAAAAAGCCACATTTTAGCTGCAGGGCTTGGTGGCCGGGAACAATCTGAAGATATGAAGCTTTTCCTGGAGGAGCAGGGCACCTGAGCGGGAGAGCTTTACCACAATAAGGAGCTTTTGGACTCAGCACAACCGAGACTGTAAGTGAGCATAAGTGAGGCCATCTTGTTATGCTAAATGGTCCCAGCTCCTCCTCTGTGTGACTACTCACTGCTCTGCACATACTCTAAAAAATTCACGTGCTCTCCTGATTTATGCCCTCCACTTATGTATGTACCTCCTGATAGCTTGAAAAGTTAAAACTTTGTTCTATGAGTTTCTCTCCAGGAACAGGCTGACCACAGGCGGGAAACACACCTACAAGGCATCCATCACAGCTGACAGAACAGTCAGCTCCCTCCTCACTGCCCATTTCCCCTATATAACTGCCTCAAGATTCTGTAATCCTGGAAGATGGGTTTTTGAGACATTAGTCACCCATCTTCCAATTAGCCGGCTAATCTAATTAAACTTCTTTTCTCGGTCTCTAATTCATTGTGATTAATTGGCTCAGATCACAGGGCGCAGAGCTAGCCCATTGCTCAGTATCAAATTCTGGCGACCCAGATGGGACCATAGCCTCTGCCCATAGCTAGTCGACTTGGAGGGGGCTGTTTTGGGACTTTTCCCTGCAGCTGCAGGGCGGCTTTTTCCACCAGGGGAACTCCCCTTGTGGCTCCCTCGCTTGCCAACTGCCTCTAACACTTCAGTGATTGGGAAACTCAATTCAGAGGAATATTGCTTTGTTCCGGACCTTTGCAACATAAATGAGGTGGTTCAGGACCTGCACCCTGTGGGGCCCAGACCTCACACCTTGCTAACCAACATGCCAGGTGAATTTGGCTGGCTTTCAGTTTGGGGACTTAAAGGATGCATTCCTCTGCATACCACTCGTAGAAGAATCGCAACAACGTTTTGCCTTTGAATGGTGTGACCCTGATACTGAGGCCACTCGACAGTAGTTAGACAGTGCTCCCCCAGGGCTTTCAAAACTCCCCTATGCTTTCTGGGGAGGCCCTAGCTAAAGACCTGAGCTGCTTACAAGAGCAAGAAGGATTGCTGTTAGAGTATGTGGATGTCTTGCTGACAGCGAGCCCCACTTACGAGCAGTGCATAGCCAACACAATAAAGACCTTGAATCATTTGGTTGAATGTGGGTATAAGGTCTCATAAAAGAAAGCATAGATCTGCAAACAAAAAATTACATACTTAGGATTTACCTTATCAAAAGGCCAAAAGGAACTGCTGCCAGACCAAAAGAAAGCTATAACGTGACTGCTTCATAGTAAAACCCATGAGGCTCTAAAAGGGCTAGACCAGGGGCCACTAAGTGGGACAAAGGAATCTCAGGTGGCCCTTGATACCATCAAGACAAAGTTAATTTCCAGATCAAGTACTCACATTATTAGAATGAAAAAGATACTGGCTCACTTCAGGAAGGATGGACAAATAGTAGCCATCCTTTTGGACAATCCAAATGTACAGGCGCAAGTCCCCCTAAACTCAGCCACCTTGCTCCCTAATCAGACATCAGAAGCCTTAAAACCTGACTGCTTACTAGAGATGGAGACAGTGTGTTCTAGCTGACATGTTTTGTTGGACTGTCCACTGGAAGAATCGGACTCGTAACTCTTGACAGATGGCAGCAGCTTCGTGGATCAAGGTAAGAGACACGCGGGGTACACGGTCATAACTTTACAAGAGGTCAAAGCCCTACTCCCAGGGACATAGGCTCAAAAAGCGAAAATCATCGCCCTCACTTGGGCTCCAAATCTAGCTCAAGGGAAGACAGTAAATATATACACAGATTCCTGTTATGCCTTTCCTGTAGTTCATGCTCATGGGAAAATATGAAAAGAAAGGGGACTCTTAACAGCAGGAAAAAAGGAAATCAGATATAGCCCTAAACTCTTAAAACTCTTTGGTGCTATTAATGAGCCTGCTCAGGTAGCTATCACGCATTGCCCTGGCTACCAGAGGGAGAATCTAATGGGTCCAGAAGTACATCACAGGGCCCCACCTGCAAAAGACAATACAATAGGTCGCTAAAAATTGCATAATCTGTGCAAAGAACAATCCCAAGGCCGCTTCCAGTCCCCCACATGTGGGGGCCCAACATAAAAAAATCTGGCCTAATGAAGACTGGCAAATAGACGTTACCCACATTCCCCAGGCAGCTGGGAGTTTTAGGTTTTTGTTAGTGTTTGTAGACACCTTCACCAGGTGGGTGGAAGCTTTTCCCACTCAGACTGAGAAAGCATCAGAAGTCACTCGCATATTGCTGAGAAATCATCCCAGGTTTGTCTGCCTAATACCTTGCAGAGTGATAATGGACCAGCTTCTGTCTCCCAAATAACCCAACAAGTGTCAAAAGCTTAGACATCCCATGGAGACTATACTCAGCTTGGAGACCTCCATTGACTGGAGACATGGAGAAAACAAACTGCACCTTAAAGAAGACCATTGCCAAAATCTACCAGGCAACACAACCAACTTGGGATAAGGCACCGCCCCTTGCCCTGCTACCGGTCAGAGTAGCTCCGTGAAGTGGACTTAAATTGAGTCCTTTCAAAATTCTATATGGGAGACCCTTTCAGGCATCTTCCCCTGGGACTGAACCTCTGGACTTTTTAAGGAATGTCACGATTGCTAATGATGTTAAATCTTTAAACTCTGTATTAACTTCTGTCCATGACTTTGCATCTCATAGGTCTGCATATCCGTCTGACGTCCCTCTACATACCTTCCTGCCTGGTGATCATGTTTTGCTGAAAACTTGGAGAGACCAGGGCCCGAAAACCAGTTGTCACCCAAATGGACGGGCCCCTTTGAGATTCTTCTCATCACTCACTCATCTGTAAAACTTGCAAACATAAAACCCTTGGACGTGTAAAACAGCTAACAATTGGGAGCTGGTTTTCAAACTTGTTTTACATACATGCAATTGGATTCAAAGCAGCCATTTGAAATTAGTCATAGGAGGATATGTAATGGTGTGGAAACATGTTCAAGTTTTAAATAAATTTTTGAAAAATAAAATTTAAAAATCCATTCATAAAAAATCCGTTTGTATATTACGATTCCCTCATTTTTTATGATGATTATTTCTAAGAGGCAAAACTTATTGAACTCACTACCTATTCTTTTTTCTTTCTGCCTTTCCTTTTTTTTTTTTTACTTCCACTTTAACGGTGGAGAATTTTGCCACTTTGTACCTCTTTTCTCTATCCGAGAAAAATGAAACTTCCTTCCTTTGTTACTCTGAATGAGAGTGTCTCTATACTTGGGGTACAAACTGACAGGTCCTCCTCTCCCCCTCTCCCCCTCAGCTGATGACTTTGCTCCCTACTTCACAGAGATAGCAGAAATAATCGGAAGAGAATTTCCATATGCTTCTACCATAGTATCTACTCATTTACATGCATCTGTGCCCATGTACACAGTTTTCTGTTAATATAAATGACTCTCTGTGTTCCTAAAAAAGATCCAACTCCCCAACTTGTCTGCTGGTTTCTATTCCCTTCCAGCTACTGTGACATGACATTCCTCTTTACAGCAAAATTGACCAACATCACCCATTTCCCCTCCCCTCGGTCCCTGGCAACCACCAGTCTACTCTCTACTTCTATAAGTTTGCCTATTTTAGATTCCACATGTAAATGAAATCATGGCGGTATGTGGCCTTCTGTGTCTGGCTTACATCACTTAGGATAATATCCTCCAGGTTCATCCTTGTTGTTGTAAATGGCAGAATCTCCTTTCTAAAGGTGAAATAATATTCCTGTGTGTGTGTGTTTGTGTGCGTGTGTATCAAATTTTCTTTATCTGTTCATCCATTGATGGACATTTAGGTTGTTCTGGAGAATATATTCTTACACAATGAATTCATCTTTTCCCCAAAGAGTATTTCCAAAGGAGTGAAGGTCAGTCAGGGCAGCAGAGCTGGGCTGTGTCAGAGTAAGATGTGGGGATCACTCTTCAGAAAGAGGATCACGAAGCATCCCACAGGCCATTTAGTGTAAAATATCAATAATAATAATAACATCATAAAAGGACATTTATTACATTTGACGGGCTGGCCTTTTGGTAAGAGCTATATGTAGAGAGGATTGGAAGCCTTCTAACTGAAATATATTCTGACCCCAGAATTCTCCCATTCACTAGAATTCAACATATATCTCAGATCAAGTCAACACACTCACTGCCTGTTCTAAAGTGATCCAGTCTGGAAAGAAAGAGGCTATCTGTCTTGTAATACAGAAATAGATGCCCAAAAGTGCCTCAGTGGTGAGTAAAACTAAGAAAGACTGAAGATGATTTGAACAGCCTGAAGATGATCCCACTTACCTCGAGATGCCCAGCCCCAGAATGAAACCCCTTTACCTTGGAGAGAGAGGCAGGGAGGTTCTTGAGGTTTAGTTGCATCAGATTTCCAATGATGGGAAGGGGAGTTGGGCCAGGAGGGAGCCTTCCCCATCCATAACTTTTCTTCCACACAAAAAGGAAAACCAGGCAAGTGACACAAATCACAAGAGGAAGAGTAGTAGAGATCCCCAGAAGCTCCATCTCAGCTACCCGATGTTGGGAACTCTCTGGATTGCTTGTGAGAAAACAAAGTCTTATGCAGGGAATGTGACGTACCAGCCAAAGGTTGGTCTGAGTTCTTGGATTTGGGACAAAAACTGGCATTGGTTGTGGCTTTAATTACTTTGCTGAAGTTTGAGATTAAGAAGGATTCACATCTTTCCTCCCTCTCATTCACAAAATCTGCAACTTTTGATTTGCTAAGCCTCTCTATGACATGTACTTTTTCCTTTCAGGACTGATTCATTAAATATGAAGCTGCATTTTATTTTTCATAACTTTCTGAAAACATTCAAATAATTAAGTTCACAAACTCGAAAAAAAAAGTAAATCCTATATCCTGCGATCTGATTTGGAAAAATACGGCTGTCAGAGCAGTGCTCCTCCTACATCATTTTTATCATGTCTCTCATCAGCTAAACGTCTACTGTGTCCATGGACAAAGTGATGCATAAACGAAATGTAGTGTGTGCATACAAGAGAATTAGTTACTTTTAAAAGGAATGAAATTCTAATATTTGCTACAACACGAATGAAACACTGAAAACATTATACAAAGTGAATTAAGTGAGACACCAAAGTACAATCATTGTATGATTCCGCTTATATGGAGCACTCTAGGTAGTCAAATTCATAGTTATGGAGAGCAGAACAGATGTGACCAGGCGCCAGAAGGAAATGGGAAGTTAATGTTTAGTGAGTACAGAGTTTCCGTTTGGGACATTGAAAAAGTTCTGGAAATGGATAATGGTGATGATTGTACAAAATTTTGAATATACCTAATGCCACTAAAGTGTACACTATAAATGGTTAAAATGGTAAATTTTATGTATATTTTACAATAAAGAAAAAGGAAATTTTATTGAGTTGGTGTTTTAAAAATATTATCTCATTTGTATTTGCATTTAAAATAATTAAGGCTCTTATCGATTTATTCTTTGGGATAATCCTACTATTAATAGTAATGTCTCAGTCTATACATTATTTTTGGGAGAATTTTTACTATAATAAATCTTTTTAAAAATCTAAAAAAAAAGTCTACTGTGGTTTCCTATTACCTGTTATAGCAAACTAAAACTCTATTAAGCACTAAAATTCTTCATTAAATGGTTTCAACTTTACTATTTTCACCCATTTCAGAGCCACCTCTCTGTATTTTCTACAGCAGACCATTTACTTCCATTAAACAAAATTATTAGTTAGCCTACATTCATGTATTCAGTAACCTCAGGCCAGGACACGGGGATGGAGCCACCGTCAATGATGGGTTTGTGCATGGAGAAGAACCGAGATAGAAGTAATCAGCTTAGGGACCTCACGTACGGTTCTGTATTCCTTCCAGCACCTTCTGTGGAAACAGCTCCACTGATGCTTTTGCTGGGTTGTTTGCAAGTATGCATTTGCAGACATTTCACAGAGAGGTGAATGATTGACTTTGAAATATTTGAAAAGTTAGAACCGTAATGTTTTGAATGTTGAAAGCAAGTGAATAAATAGAATGCGTTGGTAAACATACCAGGGAAGGGCGGTTTTATAACTACCTAATCATATTATTCCCCTGCTTAAAAATCTTGAAAGCTTTTGCTTTTTAATAGACTTTTTCTTTTATTATTAAGACAATGTTTTTAGAGTAGTTTTAGGTTCACAGTAAAATTGAGTGGAAGGTACAGAGTTCCATACGCTCCCCGTCGCCCACCATCGAGATTGCACAGCAGAGTGGTATGTTTGTCACAAGCGATGAACCAATGACACATCACTACGATCCAAAGTCCACAGGTGACATTACTGTTCACTCCTGGTGTTGTTTTAACAAATGCGTAATGTCATATATCCACCATTATAGTATCATTCAGAGTGTTTCCACCGCCCTAACAGTGCCCTGTGCCATGCCTATTCATCCCTCCTTCCCTCTAACCTCTGGCAACCACTGATCTTTTAACTGTCGCCATAGTTTTGCCTTTTCCCGAACGTTATAGAGTTGGACTCATACAGTATGTAGGCTTTTCAAATTGGCTTTTTTCACTTAGTGATATCCATTTAAGTTTTCTCCATACTTCTTCTTGGCTTGCCAGCTCATTTCTTTTTAGAACTGAATTACATTCCATTGTCTGGATGTACCACAGTTTACTCATCCATTCACCTACTGAAGGACATCTTGGTTGCTTCCAAGTTTGAGCAAATATGAATAAAGCTGCTATAAACATCTGTGTGCAGGTTTTTGTGTGGGCATAAGTTTTCACTTATGTGAGCAAATACCAAGGATTGCAATTACTGGATCATATGGCGAGAGTATGTTTAGTTTTGTAAGACAAAACTGTCTTGCAAAGGCGGCTATACCATTTTGCATTCCAGTCAGCAACGAATGAGAGTTCCTGTTGCTCCACATCCTCACCAGCATTTGGTGTTGTCAGAGTTCTGGATTTTGGCCATTCTAATAGGTGTATGGTGGTATCTCATTGTTGCTTTAATTTGCATTGCTTTGATGACGTATGATGTGGAACATTTTTCCATTTGCCACCATATACCATCTTTCGTGAAGTGTCTGCTAAGGTCTTTGGCTCATTGTGTGTGTGTGAGGAAGATTGGCCCTGAGCTAACATCTGTTGCTAATCTTCCTCTTTTTGCTTGAGGAAGATTGTCACGGACCTAAGATCTGTACCAATCTTCCTCTACTTTGTGTGGGATGCTGCCACAACGTGGCTGGATGAGTGGTGCTAGTTCTGTGCCTCGGATCCGAACCTGCGAAGCCTGGGCCGCCCAAGCGAAGCACGAACTTAACCACTATGCCACTAGGCCAGCCCCTTTAGCTTTTTAATTGGGTTGTTTATTTTTCCTATTGTTAAGCTTTAAGAGTCTTTTGTATATTTGGATAACAATCCTTTATCAGCTGTGTCTTTTGTAAATATTTTCTCGCAGTCTGTCTTTTTATTCTCTTGACATTGTCTTTGCAGAGCAGAAAAATTTAATTTTAATGAAGTTCAGCTTATCAATTCTCTCATAGGTTGTGCGTTTGGTGTTGTATCTAAAAACTCATCTGGGTTTTCTCCTCTGTTAGCTTCTAGGAGTTTTATAGTTTTGCGTTTTGCGTTTAGGTCTATGATCCACTATGAGTTAATATTTGTGAAGGGTGTAAGGGCTGTGTCTAGATTCATTTTTTTGCATGTGGATGTCCCATTGTTCTACTATTATTTGATGAAAGGACTATCTTTTCTCCATTGTATTGCCTTTGCTCCTTCGTCAAAGATCAGTTGACTATATTTATGTGGGTCTATTTCGGGGCTATTTTGTCCCACTGATATGTTTGTCTATTCTGTTGCCAATACCACACTGTCTCGATTACTGTAGTTTTATATTAAGTCTTGAAGTAAGGTCATGTCAGTCCTCCAACTTCGTTCTTCTCCTTTACTATCGTGTTGGCTATTCTGGATCTTTTGCCTCTCCACATACACTTCAGAATCAGTGTGTCAATATCCACAAAATAACTTGTTGGGATTTTGATTGGGATTGCGTTGGACCTATAGATCAAGTTGGAACGAAGTAACATGTTGACAATATTGAGTCTTCCTATCCGTGTACATGGAATTTCTCTCCATTTATTTAGTTGATTTCTTTCATCAAAGTTTTGCATTTTTTTCTCATATAGATCTTGTACATATTTTGTTAGATTTATACCTAAGTATTTCATGTTTTTGGGTGGTAATATAAATGGTATTGTGTTTTTAATTTTAAATTCTGAAAGGTTTTGCTCAAAAGATTTGTTTCTAGCCTTTGGGAAAAAAGTCACTGATATGTAACAAGACTTAAAGATCCACTATGATGTCCCTCTACTTTTCCCTCTCTTGATACCTACCTCACCAGTCTCATCTTTCGGTGCTCCCATTCTTACTAATAATGTTGTGCCTATATTAAACTTTGTTCCATTCCTAGAATGTTCTTGGACTGAGGTCTTCACACTATCTCCCAAGACTTTATTCTTTCATAACAGCTTTATTAAGATATAATTCACATACCACACAATTCACCCTTTTAAGTATACGGTTCAGTTTGTGTGGACATGTTTTAACTCTTTTGGGTAGATACCTAAAAGTGGAATTGCTGGGTTATATGGTAACTCTATGTTTAACATTTTGAGGAACTGTCAAAATGTATTCCAAAGTGGCTGCATCATTTTACATTCCTACTGGCAATGTCTGAGGATTCCAATTTCTCCATATCCTTGCCAACACTTACTGTCTGTCTTTGTCATAGCCGTTCTCATGGGTATAAGTGATATCTCATTGTGGTTTTGATTGGCATTTCCCTAATGACTAATGATATTGAACATCTTTCATGTTCTTCTTGGCCATTTCTATATCGTCTCTGAAGAAATGTCTATTGAGATCTTTTGTCTATTTTAAAATTGGGCTTTCTTTGTATTGTTGTTATCCCCTGATCTTTAATAGCTAGCACACTTTCTCACTCTTTATTTTCCCCTTCTTTTTTTACACACTCCTAGCACTACATTTCTCCCATTATATAGTCTTATTATAGTTGGAATTCTTTGATTAAGGCCACCTGCTCATGGACTGTTGATTCTAAGAGAGCAGGGACTACACCTGTCATATTCACTATTGTTTTGTTCACTGTTGGTCCAATACTTTACACGTTAGGTTTCCTGGAATGTTTGTTGAATTGTATTTATTTGATGTTCACATTGTTTCTCCTGTTGTGTCAGGAGGGTTGCTGTCTCGACTTAAAAGGTTTTAGGAGTCACATTCTCTGACCATTTGTGCTCCTGTCTCCCCCTGGTTGAGGGTTGTCCCTGGGGATATTAATTCTTGTGCATATCTGAGTTGAGCACACGTGCAGAATGATTGCAGCTTCCATAGCATGCCAGGATCCCTGCAGTGAAAAACAACATGTGAAGTGTACGCACAGCACTGTTGAGGCAAGGGACCCAGTGAACTGCATTTTAAAATGCAATAGCACCTGGTGCTCCCACTACCTGGAACACATTCCACCATCACCATCACTCTCTTCATCTGGCTGGCTGCCTC